GAGTCACGAGTAAATGCGTCCTCGCCGTGAAGCTTGCGGTAGAACTCGGCGTCCATCTCCTCAATAGGAACGTTGTTGTCGAACACGCAAAACCACGTCAGTGGGATCGACACGAACGCGATGGCGCAGAACGTGTAGAAGGCGCCGTCGTAGCCGAAGCTCTCGTTCGATACCCAGATCGAGAAACCGAACGACCCAATAGCGGCTCCACCCTTGCCACACGCCGCAGAGATACCGTGACAAGTGGATCGGATCGGGGTCGGGTACATCTCAGTCGGTAGCACGAACGTGGCCGTGTTCGGTCCGAAGTTGGCGAAGAACAGCGTGAGACCGTACAGGACGATGAAGAGCACGGTCTGATCCTGCAGGTCGTCCCAGAAGATGGCCATGATGAGACAGAGTACGCCCATGAAGAAGAAACCCTGCAGCGCCATCTTCTTACGCCCCAGACTGTTGATAAAGTAGATGGCGACATAGTAACCCGGCAAAGCCAGAAGCGCCACAAACGCGTTCATAGTAGTGACCTGCTGCAACGACGAGTTCTTGACACCGATGACGGACAAAATACTGGCCGAGAAGAGGTTCTGAGCGTAGTAGATGATGTCGAAGAGGAACCACGTGCCGGCCGTACCGAGAAGGCTCACCCAGTAGTGACGAATGATGAACGAAAGCCGAGCCTTCTTTGCAGCACCCACTTGAGTGACAGCAGCCGAACGCTCCTGCATGGCTCTAAACGCCTCCGTCTCCTCCGCAGTGATACGGTAGTAGCAGATCACAGCAGCGGGGATGCAACCGATAGCGAAGAGCAGACGCCACACGGTCTCAAGCCGCGAATCACTGTTCTCACCGGGTTTGCCATCGGCTAAAGCCTCGACAAGCAGGTTACCCAGAATGGCGGCCACCACCTGACCCACTCCCTGTAGCGAGAAAGTAGTAGCAACACGCGTGTTGCGCTCGGCAGAGTTCGTGGAGTCTTCAGCCGACGATGAAGCAGCAAGCGGATACTCGCCGCCGATACCGATACCGAGAATGATGCGGGCCACAACGAGGAACCACAGCGTCGAGCTGCCGCTACCTCCGTAGGCCACCGTACACAGAATGCTACCCACAATTAAGAGCACACAAGTGGCGATCATGTTGACCTTGCGACCGAAAACGTCTCCCAGGAAGCCGAACAGGAGCTGACCGATCACAGCTCCGATGATAGCAGCGGCAGACACCCACGACTTGACGTACGACGTGTAGACGTGCTTTCCGTATTGCTCCGTGAGCACAACGTTGACGATGTTCATGACGAAGAGGTCGTAGGCATCGTTGAAGAAGCCGAGGCCTCGTACCAGATACTTGTTCATGG